CGGTCTGTAAATAATCGAATCACAATCCAGTGATCAACAACATGAGCATCGCCAACTCACTCACTCACTCATATAACTGATTATCATCGAACTGATGATCGGCTGATTGGTATAATTGTCTTAAAGGAGGACTGCAAAACCTGTTCCCATCTATCTGTAGACGTTTTGTATCTTTGGTGTTTATTGTATTTATTTCCTACAAGCCTTTTTGTTAAATTTTGTGAAATTTAGATAAGAAACCAATTTCTTACAGTGATATGTCCTAAAAGTAAATTATCAAACAAAGAAAATGGTGTTTGAATGACAAGGATTAAATTGTCTAAGACCCAAAGAAATTGCCTACAAACACGAGAATGCCATTTAACGAAACGATCAAAGGTACACGCGTACCTGTACCAAACATAGAAAGAATAATGAATACGGTCTTAATTGCAAGTCAGGTCTTCAGTAATGTTACAGCTTCTGAACTGTCACCTAAACATTAATGGCCTGAATATATCACCTGTGGTTTGCTAGCACCAGATCTAAACTCCTTTTTTCGGCTTAAACTAAATTACACATCTCCAGTCCCAATCCCTTGTGGCAAACGGAACTGCTTACCGCAAGTCAATCCGACACTTGTCCAGGAAACTGGATTAAAGGCAGCCGGAACACCTCATTTGAAATTCAGATAAGGCATCCACAAGTACCAGCATAAAAGTCAGGAGCGTCTCGTGTAACTCCGTAAAACAGATTACCTCAGCCCAGAGTGTAAGCAAAGCAATGTTCATCGTTTCGTCTCAGAATAGTCGCTGTATAATGTGCCGTAGCCAACACCGAGGACTTTCCGCCATACAATAAACGTCTAGTTTACGGCGCCAGAGATGTATAAAAATACTTGTAATTGTTTGTACATCCCTGTTACGTTTTCATCTAAACCTGTACAGATTAAAATAGTGTGAAATTAATTTTTGTGTTCTGCTTTTGATGTGATAAAAGTGTCATTACTGGCGACAGACTGTGTTAGTATACATACGTGTTAGCTGTGGACACAGATGCTACTCCGTTGCCGCAATATCAGTTAAACCCTTAAACTCCGTATCTCTCCAGCCTATTCCAGAAGATCCGGGTGAGAATTGATATTCAGTAACCCATGCTTGTCGTAAGGGACCACTAACGGGATCGGGTGGTCAGGCTCGCTGACTTGGTAGTCACATGACATCGGTTCCCAATTGCGTAGATCGATGCTCATGCTGTTGATCAGTGGATTGTCTGGTCCAGACTCTATTACTTACAGACTGCCGCAATATAGCTGTAATATTACTGAGTGCGGCGTAAAACTAAACTCATTCACTCACTATTTCAGCTTTAGAACTGCCCTCAAGGCCCATCTCTTACATCAAACTTTCGACAGAAGTTTCTGCCCAGACATGAAATTGAGCATGAAAAAGCGTAACACAAATTGACCATTATTAAGATTATTATTATGATAAATATGATATTAATCATTAATGATGACAAACGTAAATGTAACGACATGTTTCCTTCCAGCGCTATTGCCATTACCATGATTAAATTTTCAAGACAGAAATGTGTGGGTTTTTTTCTTTAGAAAATGCCTTACATGTCTTAAAATACCAATTAAATATATCAAATGTCTTAGAGTTAATCCCCTGCCTGAACAGAACAACACGTAAACCACGCTTTGATGCGCCGCATGAAAGGGGCAATGGAGAATATCGAAGACGACACGAAAACAATCACCCATTAGTATATATACGTCATAGGTTTGTGTTAAGAACGTTTATCACATTTATTATATAGGATATGTGAAGGAAGGGTTCTTTCAAGTGCTGTAACACTAACGTCATACGTCCATTTGGCTTATCCCTGGACGGAAACCGCAGCTTCCAAAACCATTTACGAACTCCCTGTCACACTCACTTATCCCAGTAGTTATTAAAACTGTGAAAGTATGACATGATCCCAGAACAAAGGAAAGCGACTACAACGTCGACTCACACGTAATCAGGACCCCGTTCCTCAAAGCGATCGTAGGTGATCGTAACTCCCATACTTTAACATAGACTTACTACTGTTGTAGCGCTACGATCGCTTCGAGGAAAGGCGCCCAGGGCCCCGTTCCTGAAAGCGATCGTCGCGCTACGATGCTCGTAACTCCCCATACTTTAACACAGACTTACGACAGTCGTAGCGCTACGATAGCTCCGAGGAACGGGGCCCAAGTAATTACTAATACAGGGCCCGTTCTCGAAGCGATCGTAGCGCTAAGGTGATCGTAACTCCCATACTTTAACACAGACTTACGACTGTCGTAGCGCTACGATCGCTTCGAGGAACGGGGTCCAGGTAATTACTAATACAGGGCCCGTTCTCGAAGCGATCGTGGCGCTAAGGTGATCGTAACTCCCATACTTTAACATAGACTTACGACTGTCGTAGCGCTACGGTCGCTTCGAGGAACGGGGTCCAGGTAATTACTCATAAAGTGTGACTACACGCTCCATTGTACCAATACCTACTGACAACTCATCACTGTAGACCAAGCTTCCAGCGATGTACGGACATCGCCGATTATAACTGTATATTGATTGCGGGTGGACGCCAATCCTCTCAGAACAACGATCCTAATGGCTGTTTGGTGTTGGCTGACACTCAACCCATGTAAATACGGCAGATGGCAAAATAATAATCGAGAAGACTGAAACGTTTTTTGATTAACATGCAATGAGAGGGTTTAGACAGGCAAATCTACATGTAAGTGCGTTATAGTGTTTGATGAAGATTAACTTTCTCTACGTAGCACTGCGTCAATTTGATTCAGAGAGTGCTCGTGGACGTGGAATCCTATGGGGTATGGAATTACTTCAAAACTCGGGGAAATTGAGCGATAAAATACACATGATTATTTGGATATAAATTGAGTTAAAGGTTGTTTTGTCCGTTGAGCTAAATTACATGGCCAAAAAGGTATGTAATGGTCGTTTGGAACTAGAGAAAACTATTTCTTATCTGAAAGTCTTAACTTGTGGTCATGTGACTGTCTTGAGTTTCATTCTGTCGCCTTAAGCAACAGTTAGTTTAAAAAATATAGTTATCTCAACTAAAACATATATCTACAAAATCCCAAAGCATCCAAGACCAGGCTTAATTGCTACAGTTGAAGCTATGAAGACTAAATATCCCACACCACCGTTTCCCACAAACATGCCACACTCCTGAATCCCTCGAATATGTTGTAACCCACAAATATCCAGTACCACCTCATCCCGTAATCATGCCGTTCCATTGCCTCCATCAGACATGTTGTACCGCCGTATTTGACAAATATGCTAAAGCATAGCATCCCATACCATTGCATCCCACAAACATGGTGTATCCCACAAATATGCCACACCACTGCATCCCACGAATATGCCACACCACTGCATCCCACTAATATGCCACACCACTGCATCCCACTAATATGCCACACCACTGTATCCTACAAACATGCCACACCACTGCATCCCACTAATATGCCACACCACTGCATCCCACTAATATGCCACACCACTGCATCCCACTAATATGCCACACCACTGCATCCCACTAATATGCCACACCACTGCATCCCACTAATATGCCACACCACTGCATCCCACTAATATGCCACACCACTGCATCCCACAAACATGCCGTTTCGCCGTATCCCACAAATGTGTCAAAAACAAATATGCTCATTAACTAATGAGTATTTGCTTTTGTCCCTGCTTCACATATCAAACAAATACAGCCCTAGTAAACAGTGCTTCCGGATTACCGGGATTTTACACAGCATATTCTTCAATAAAAGTAATTCACTGACAATGTTTGGGTAGTCGATGTTTGTTGTTGGCTGCAGTGACTGAGCTAAAACATATGGCTTGAAGAAAGCGGCTATGCTTCATGGTGGACCAGCTATCACAGCGACTGACCTCAAGACATCATGTAACGACAGAATAATAGAATCGTGATGGTTTCATATTGGCTATGAAACGTTGTCTCTCTGTGTTGAATATTTTCTTATATTCAAGCAAGGTTGCAGTCACAAATGTTAAACAAGCCATCGCAATAATGATCCAATATAAAACCGACATGAAACTATAAATGTGCATATCACTGTCTGGTACAGCTACTTGGAAAAATGAGTTCATTAAAAATAAATAATACTAGTGCAGGAAGCAACTTGCATGTATAGATATACAAAATGAGTTAATTACATGTTTATTTTCTTGAAAATATGTTATGAAATAATCAAGGATCTGTTATTATAGCGTCCGGGTAATAGGAAAGGTATATAGGTAATTCGAAAAGCACAACATGATGACCATCCATTCTTCTGGAATCTAAGTAAAATTATTCAGCGAATGTTGTCATCATCAACTGAGTCTATTATTATGGCTCTGCTGCAAACAAGCATGCGTTCGTCTAACGTGCAATGTGATGTCATAAACAAGGGGAGAACAAATAGTGACACGTTGTAACCGTTGATGATAAAACCAATAAACATTGAAGGACGCCACCCACCCATACAATAACCTGTTTTCAAGCGTAATTGTATTAAAGGTCGGGCTTGGCACATAAACGAGTACTTTATTATTGACGAGTGTCACGTGAATATGTTATTTTCGGCCAAGGAACGAGCGAAATCTGTCAGGATAATTCTACCGGGTCATTGAAATTGACGAGAAGGTCGTTAACATTCGCGTTGGCCGCTTTCTATCGCGTCTCTCACAAACAAGTGAGATTTCCACGAATTGATCACGTTCTGTGTGACTTAATGGAACTGGGATCGAGGGAGGCAAATGATTGATCAAAGCTTGGGGAATAAAGAGATGATAAAAAATCGAACTTGATTTACCAAAAGGTTAATAGCGATTTAGCCACCAAAACAAGCTGCTGTTCTTGGTACCATCCATCACCATGGATACAGCTCTTAGATTTCGAATATTATGAAATCAATTAAAGTAATCTCTTACCGGCATTATGATCCTGGAAATTCCTTGCGGTACAAACCACAGTTACACACGTGAATGAAGTTCGGCTGACCATATCGTGGTCAGTTCCATGACTGCTGCTACAGTTATTATTCGCCTGGCACTGACCGTCAACGGCACGCTTCCCTACACCGCAGCGAGCGCTCCCGATACGGAGGCCATGCCACAACTTGGCACTTCGAGTATCACAGCAATATCGATTAGGCAGGAGGTTTCACTGCGCATGCGCGACAATGTCCTTGACAAAGGGCGAGGCGTGTGGTAAATACGGCGGAGCTCACTGACCGCCGGCTCCCCAGCGTCGCCATGTGATGTGTTTGTATCATTTGGTGGTCAAAGCTGGAAACGCGACAGAAATAATTCTCTTCTCACGTCTGTCCTCTGTTATCGGTCAGTTTATGAGTTATAAGTATATTAGGCTGTCACAACAACTTGGAATCCGTTTGGGGTTGGGGTGATTATTTCGGGCGATCAAACAAATATGACAGGCAGTCAGCAAGAAGGATTCTCTCACCTTCAAGTTGGCGTAATACCGGCAGAGGAAGCCCAAGTAAGAGCACAAATCCGCAATATCAAAAAGCTTTAATCAATAACACAGGCCTTCCTTATCAGCGTTGAAAACTCGGTGACAACACACAAACACTTGATGACGTCACAGAGACCCTTGGCAATGTCATAGTAACCGATCGTTATAGCACTGACATCTTTTATGACATTCATAATTGCATGGAAAACATTGGGAACGGAACTAATCTCCTCGATAACGTCAAGGTATGCAACAGGTATAAACAGTCTGGACTGTCGCCCAGAACAGATTCACATTGCGCTTTGCCGATAGCAGGGTACGGGTGCAGGATCGGGTAGGGGAAGGGACATAGCCGGATGCAGAGGTGTGTGTGTGTGTGTGTGTGTGTGTGTGTGTATGTGTGTGTGTGTGTGTGTTGTGTGTGTGTGTGTGTGTGTGTGTGCGTGCGTGCGTGCGTGCGTGCGCGCTCCCTCCTTTGTATCCAGAAAGTTTATCCGCCCCTGTGGGGGTGTGGGGTTTGCGGGGGTGTGGAGGTACGTCAATCACAATGTTGTGTATTCGACCGATTTGGAGGGTTTGGTTTGGGGAGCATTTCCTACGAATGGTCGATCTCAACTGGGTGTCGTCCATTCGAATCTCACTGCCGTGCAATTTTGAAACTAAGTTTGAACCTAGTCATTCAGCCATCAATGCACCACGTGGTCGCGGCTGACGTATGAACAAGACAACACTGCATCCCATACTGCAGTGTGACGCGCAGCTTCTCCTGTAAGGCCGATGTTGAGGTCATGGATTGGCCTACCTGTTTCCCAGACTTGAACGTGATCGAACACATTTTGGATGAGGTGGAAGACGAGTGCGATGAATCAACCCCAGCCCTTGGTCAAGCACTCGAACTGCAATGGCGACGACTTGTGATTAGAGGTTCCTCTGTTCATGGAGAGCTCACACTCGTAACGGGGCGGTGGAATAGCCTAGTGGTTAAAACGTTCGCTCGTCACGCCGAAGACCCGGGTTTGATCCCCACATGGGCACAATGTGTGAAGCACATTTCAGGTATCCCCCGCCGTGATATTGTTGGAATATTGGTAAAAGCGGCGTAAAACCAAACTCACTCACTCACTCACACTCGTAACTGACCTCTATCATGGTTGATTGGTTTGTGGATTGGTTTGTTGTTTAACAACGTACACGGCAATATTCCGCGGCGGTCTGTAAATAATCAAGTCTGGACCCGACAATCCAGTGATCAACACCATGAGCATCGATCTACGCAGTTAGGATACGATGACATGAGTCAACCAAGTCAGTGAGCCTGAACACCCGATCCCGTTAGTCGCCTCTTACGACAAGCATAGGTTGCTGAAGACCAACTCTAACCCGGATCTTCACGGGTCGTGTCGTAAGTATACTCATGCCAATAATGGTTGTCAACCCTCCCCACCCCAACCCACACACACCCCACCCACTCCCATTCCCACCCCTCTCCAATAAAAAATAATTGAAGGGGGTGACAACCATTATTGGCATGAGTATAGAAAGATGCAAACCAGAATCAACAGTACTAAGACTTAAGTGCCATTCTAACATGCCATGCAAGAACTCAGTCTAAACGACCAGGCTGGAGTAGCGACTTGATAAAGGGGAAATCTGACACGAATGTCCATTAATCAGTTTTTCCGCATCCAACACGAATTCTACATCAACGTTTTCTTCGCCTCTAATGTAGCCGGATACGTTTATAGTTTCCGTCGAAGAAGGTGCAGCCGTGTGAACGTCTCAGCAAATACGGACGTAAAAGACGACGTTTTAAAGACACCAGCACGCCCGGATGCCCCGGGGGCGACTGCTCGGTTCATCTCCCTCTCAATATCCCCAATTACACGGCACCACCCCCAAGCTGGGTAGACAATTGTGTACTACCGCTACACTATACATAGATTCCTAGAACTACATGGAGTGCCATGCATTATTTCTCCTATATGACGATGCCGCACTTCTCGTCGTCTATAGTGGTACCTGGGTGATAGCGCTATGATACATACAGCTACACATGCACACTCCACTTCCATTATGGGAGTCAGTGTCAAGTATTTACTTTGGTTGAGTATACATGGTATAACTTACTTAGAGTGAGTGAGTGAGAGAGATGGTTTGTAGAGGATTGTATCTTGACATAATTATTATGTCAGGACTGATATATTCCAATATTGTGTTGTTTTACTTGCAGCGTTTACTATATGCATTTCAGATAATATACACCATAGGAGAAGCACCTTGGAGGTTGCCGGATATATTTTACGTAAGGAACAATTTCGTCACTCACTGTTGAGATTTCGAGCGATTTTCTTGTTTCATTTCAGAAAACTTTATGTCGGCATACAAGTGAGTGAGTGAGTATGATTTTACGCAGCTTTAAGCAATATTCCAGCAGTATCGATAGGGGGGACACCAGAAATGGGCTTTACATATTGTACCCATGTGGGGAAGCAACTATGTATTTTTTTTGTACTCTGGGCCATGAGGCCAGTATGCGAATATTCTCTCTCTCTCTCCTTCTTGGCCTCAAGGCCAGTGAAGATCCGGGTTAGAAATTTACATCAGCAATCCATCCATGCATAGTTCATTACAAAAGTAAGAGATACTGCAGATGTTTATCGAGATTTTGGTATATTTGTTAAGGTGATTTTTTGTTAATTACATGTTTGTTGTTTAACTCTTCACGCAGCGACCTCTAAGTTATATGACGTTAGTCAGTAAATAACCGAGTCGGGGCCACATAATCCCGTGATTGACACCATGACATCGGTATAATCAGATTGGACACAATGACATGCATCCACCAAGTCAGTCAGTCTGACAACCCGATCCCGCTAGCTACCCCTTAGGACAGAAAAGTTTGCTGAACACCAGATCCAATACAGATCTGCAGGGCACCAACCTAAATACCACCAGCAGGTTTGGAAATCCACGATAGCTCGTCCATTATTTTCCTAATAGAATAATGGGTTAGCAACTGTAAACAGCAATTGTGTCGTGATTGTTGGTTTAAAGGATAATTGTGTTTGCGTGAAGTGATTGTTAGGTGAGGTGAATTTGGGTTTAACGTCGTGCTTGAGAATATTTCGCTCATAAGACGACGTGCATGCGTGTGTATGTGTATGTGCGGCTGCTTGTACTAGCCCAGACTGAAGCTGGTTTGATAGTGCTAGGCCACTGAGATACCATGCCGCAGTGAAGCATGAATACCCCACTCAGACACATTATACTGACTCCGAGCCGACCAGTCCTTGATGTACCCATTAATGCCGAGCGCCAGCCAGGGACCAAAAAGTACCATATTTTAACGTATTTTGGTATGACGCGGTCGGGGATCGAACCCGCGACCTTCCGCAATCCGAGCGGACGCTCTAACCACAACACCACGGAGGCGGTCGAAGTTATTGTTAAGCGGGGGACACATTGTATGATCATGATGGTAGAAGATGCTTAATATGGTATAATGATCATATCACTCCGTGCCGATATCACTATTACTGGTTAACTCATTCATACATCCATACAAACAAGCATTTCACTCCGAGCTAATATCTAACATTCAACGTCAGCACATAATACTGATCATTCAAACTCTACACGTACGGAGATTCCAAAATCAACCTTACGGTTTTCATTGCAGGTGAACAAATACGGTTAAAAGCTATTATACGTTATTATCAGATAATAAAGCAATAATAAACTGAAGGCGGTGTACCTTTCACTCGTCTAATCCCCAGGTGGGCACCGTCTTTAATCAGCTGACGGAGACAACGACAACAGCCACGACTTCGACTTCACATGCGGAAAGCAGGGACATGGCTGGCTTCCGTTTTAACGTTTCGAGCTCCAGAGCGGAAATAATATGACACTGCTTCCGTTCCTTGAAGATGATTTGTATTGGACGACCAGTAATTCACTTTTATCACTGCTAATCATTTTCCATTTCTGTATAGTTTCGGCCCTGAAGACGACCTGGAATGTACATACACGTCAATTAAAACCCAGCGTCAAGATACCATGGCTGTTAAGGTGATTAGTGTACATGATTACTTATTCATTGGCTATTGATGTCCATTCATATGGGGACAAGATGGTTAGCGACTGGACGTGTATGTATGAGTTTGCTCCGAGTTCGAATTTCCATTTCATTGTCTTTTTTGAAACCTAGTCATCTTTGCTTGTGTGGAATTGTGTTTATGTAAACTGCAGGTCAAAGGAAAGGAAACAGACATTTTGATGGTGGCTGAAAATGAAACAAAAAAGAAATATTTTATTTATTTAATCATTCATTCATTCATTCATTCATTCATTCATCCATTCATTCATTTATTTATTATTTTTTATTATTATTTATTTAAAACCATGGGTATCGAAGTTTGGTTTCAGACCTTAAGTGTGCATTGTTTCGGCTTTGATTACATCATAACTTTGTGGCCAAACCCAGTTTTTCTGCCTAGCAGTTTACATTAACAATAGATATTTTCTGCGTGGTTGTCGTTGCATCCGTGATTAGAATATACCTATAGGACGCGAACCATCAGTTCTTTGGTATGGATGTGAACTGGGCCTTATATTACCGTGTAATGAAGATTCCGTGGCAGCATGGACCCACATACAAGTGCTTGTAAGAGCAGAGG